GGGGTAAACCTACTATAACGCCGTGGTGCGTTTTTTTGGTGCTAAATCTAAAAACGACAAAAACGTCGTTAAATGGGTCATAAAATCGAAACTAGCAAACCTATTGTCATAGTTCTACATCTAATGAATGAACTTCCAGTATAAGAATAAAAGACCTGTTTTCGGCAATTGTCGAAAAGTAATTTGATGTCGAAGTCGCCGTAAAGGAATGTGTCCGCTGACAGACAGACAGACAGACAGACAGACAGACAGACAGACAGACGGACAGACAAACAGAAACAAGATACCGAACACATAATGTAGGCTCACGAAAAAATAACAATAGAAAAAAATTAAGAAAAAACGAAAAGCAGAAGAGGGTTTCGTGGAGGTATAAGTATAAGGCGGAGGAGGAGGAGGAGGAGGGGGGGGGGTGCTATTTAGCTCACAAAAAGGGTTCCGTAAGGTAAAATCATTACGAAGAAACGTATACCCTGTTGCCGAGGGTTTTAAAAATATATTGTATACGCATATAATTCATAGGAGACAAATCATAATTCTCTGTTTCTTCCTACTTAGTACCCTTTAAACGTGAAAATTAAGGCCCATTTATAGAACACACACAAAAATAATAATAAATGTAAAGAAAGAAAGAAAGAAAGAAATCTTACGACTTACGAATGTCTTATAACCCGAGTTTGAGGCTCCCTAAGTTAAACTGACTCAGAATACGACTGGCACGCTGAATTTAGGCCATAGAGTTGTACACCTAGATCGCGACATGTTATGGCAGTTGCTCTTTGTTCTATATAACACATTTTTGCTGTGAAGCGTATGTAGTATTTGTTTTGTTTTTTTGTAAAGTGTTTTACGGCGCTCGCAACTGCATAAGATCATATGAGCGCGCGGAACACACCTAATATTTTCAGTTGGTAGGAAATTTGGAATTTTGCCGGGAGGCGGCCGAAGCCTACTCTTATCGATTTTAGACCACCAACGGATCTTTAACGTGCGTAACTTGCACACGGGCCCTCCGAGATTTTTGGCCCTTGTCCGAGAAGGCTAGGTGTAGATCTTTCCTACCAGAAGATCAGAAAAACAGCAGTAAGGAGGAGCCAAGGACTAGCAGTAGAAAGGCTGCAGAAAGAGTCAAGAGCCCAGAGGAGGGGGCAAAGGAGGTGAGGGGGTGGGGGCAGAAAGAGGAAATGAAAGCAGACGACAGAACATTGCTAGAGAGCAGGAAAGGAGGTGAAAGGAGACAATTTTACTGAAATTTTTTTTTCGGGCGCTACCCGGAATCGAACCCGGGACCTTTGAATGAGAGG